CCAAGACAGAGCTGCCTGGGCGGCTCCTTCCCTCGGCCTTTCCAAGCGCCACCCAGGCATTGGTTCCTTCTGGTGTTCTGCTGGGATGGGGTGCATCCTGCTGATCTCGGGAGGGAGCCAGAGGCCGAGAGGAGGGTGGCCTGCCTGCTCCTCCTCTCCTGCGACAGTCTCACTGCTCCCATTCCTTCTACAGATACCCCCAGAAGGCAGGCTCAGGCCATGCTGAGATTTGGGATTTAGTGGGAGCAGCTTCTTACTCACTGACCGGAGGTGACTGGGTCCCTCTCAGGCTCCTTTGGGAAAGACACCAACAGGCAGGCGAGCTCAGCCTGGAGGCGGGGCAGGGACAAGTCAGGGGGTCCCAGACCTGGGCTGGGATTGTGGGGGCCTCCAAGTCTTTCCTAGTGCCTCCTGCCCCTTTCTAAGTGTGGGGATCCCCGCAGACAAGAAGGCTCCCCCAAGTCCTCAGGAAGCCGGGGAGTGAGCAGGTCTCGCCTGGTCTTGTGGCTGGGCCTCCGTGGGCTGGGCCGTGGAAAGTGTCCTTGACATGCTGCTAGCAAAACAGTTAGGCATCTGTGACACCTACTGTGTGCTTAGGCCACATCTTAGGGTGTGGGCTGGGGTACACAGGACCAGAAAGACCCACCCAGGCTCCGGGAACCTTTGTGGTCTAGGACAGTGGTCGGCAAACTCATTAGTCAACAGAGCCAAATACCAACAGTACAACGATTGAAATTTCTTTTGAGAGCCAAATTTTTTAAACTTAAACTACATAGGTAGGTACATTGTTATTAACTTAATTAGGGTACTCCCAAGCTGGCCTTTGCTAAAAACGTCCTCAATCTGATTGAGGTACGTTCGCTGAGGTCGACCCCTTCCAACTCTCCCATCCACACTCGTCTTGTATACTTGTTTCGTCTATCTCCTTTCCTTCATCCTCTCTATATGTCCAAACCATCTCAACATACCTTTCTCAATCCTCAACACTACATCTTCTTTCACTCCACAACGTTCCCTAAAATTAACTTAATCAACTTTACTTAAAGTTTTAAGTCAACTTTGCACTGTACGTGCGTGCCCGCACGTGGTATTTTGTGGAAGAGCCACACTCAAGGGGCCAAAGAGCCACATGTGGCTCACGAGCCGCGGTTTTGCCGACCACTGGTCTAGGAGGAGATACCAAATATGAGATAATTTGTCAAGAATGAAGACAAAATGCCGTTCTGTAACCGTGAGCCCTTGCACCCATGGTGCCTGCCTGACACGGTGGGATCTGCTGGGGTTGGTCAGAGGGGGCCCAGGAGAGAGGAGCTGGGAGCTGGGGTGCAGCAGCTGGGGAAGATGGAGAGGTGGCTTAGGCCAAAGGGGTGGCCTGGCAAAAGCCAGAAACAGGTCGTTCCTGCTTCTGTCCTCAGAAGGGGCAGCGTGCACCACTTAAGAGAGAAAGGGGGCTTCCGCTATGAAGCCACCACGGCCTGTGGGCAGCCTCTCTGTAGGAGGGCAGGGTGGGCACATCTCAGCCGGCTCTGGGTTGTGGGAGCAAGTGAACTTGTTGCCTAGGCCAGCCCTTGTCCTCAGCCTCTGGCTGCCCCTCCTCATCCCCCACAGCCATGTCCCCAGCCCCTGCCCTCTTGCTGGGTCCTGGGAGGGTACGGTAGGCACCTCTCAGAGGACAAAGACATGGGGATGCTGAGTTGGGGCTCTCTGGTGGTGGCCTTCAGACCTGCATGGGCATCAGGATCACGTGGTAGCTGTTTGAGTTCGCAGATGCCAGGGCCTCACCTGCTCAGGGTGTGGGTGTGGCAGGGCAAGCTGCCTTTTAACCAGCGCTCTGCCCCCAGGGGGTGCCAGGGGCCAGGGAGCACTCAGAGTGCTGGGCTGGCCCTCCCCAGGGCCTGGCCCTAGGGGCGGGGTCTCTGGCTGCTGCCATGAGCTCAGGTTCCTCATACCCTGAGGCTGGGGCTTTGGGCTCTTCCTCAGCAGACAATGTTCCTGGAATTTCTAACCACGGGGACCTTTTCTCTGGCCATGGGCCAAGGCCCTCCTCCTGCCTGAACAGCAGGCTCCCAGGACAGGGGGTTGACGAGGGGCCCTTCTTTCAGCACCCACCTCTGCCAGGGACCCCTGACCCCTGCCTGTGGTGCTCTGCCCTCCTGCGCTTCTCGGACGCACCTGCTCCCGTGCCTGGTGCTGCAGTGGCTGCATGCTTCAGGGCCACTGCTGCTTGGCCCTGTGGTGTGGCTGCGGGGCACTGGGCAGCAGAGATTTGGGGAAGTGCTGTGTCCTGTCCTTGGAGACCAGAGGGGCCTGGCACCCTGCCCTGCTGCCAGAGAACTAGTGGACTTCCTCCTTCTCATGTCTCGAGAGGCTGCTCTCGATGGGTGGATTTTTGCCAAAGGAAGTGACCGAAGGGTGTGCGGAGGGGCCTCCTTGGAAGCTGCCGACCCAGGTGTAAGCAGGAGCCTGGTCCTCTTATGCTGATCGTACCTGCTGGCTGCCTCCCATGGCCAGTGGCAGTTACTGATTTTTTTCCAGCTGTGGAGAGGGCTGCTTGAACTTTTCCACTTTCTGATTGTGACCTCTTCATAACCGAGGTCACTGTGATCCAGTGGGTCAGGGGACAGGGCAGAAAAGCCAGCTCTGACCTGCTCGGATCTGGCCAGTTCCGCAGGAGACTCCCGATCCTGGGTCTTCTGTCCCTTAGAGAATCGAGGGATCAGGCGGCCCACGTGGCCTTTGTGGCTTTATTGCAGTGGTTCTCAACCTTCTGGCCCTTTAAATACAGTTCCTCATGTTGTGACCCAACCATAAAATTATTTTCGTTGCTACTTCATAACTGTAATGTTGCTACTGTTATGAATCGTAATGTAAGTATCTGATATGCAGGATGGTCTTAGGTGACCCTTGTGAAAGGGTCGTTCGACCGCCAAAGGGGTCGCGACCCACAGGTTGAGAACCGCTGCTTTATTGTGTTAATCTTATTTGCAGATGGAACAGAACTCAGTACATACACCAGGCCCCCCAGTTTCTGGGGAGTCTGAGTAACTCACAGAAGGATCCCTGTCTGGTTACTTCTTTGTATAACAATCAGGAACCTTTGCCTGGTGTGGTGCAGCTTACCAAGCAGTTTCATTTAGTTTTCCTAATCCCCTAGTATTATGGGCATGCAGAATCTCATTTTGTTCATCAGAGAACCTAAGTGACTGAAGCTCAGAGAGGTTAGATGATGTGATCAGGGTCACACAGCCAGTAAGTGTAAAAGCCACACTCATCACATACAATTTGAAAGAAAATATTTCCTCCCACCATCCATCTATCCATCTATCCATCCCACCATCCATCTATTCATCTATCCATCTATCCATCCATCTATCCATCCATCCATACATCTATCCATCCATCCATCTATCCATCCATCTCTCCATCCCACTATCTATCCATCCAGCTGTTCAACAGATGGTGAGGACTTATTCATATTAGAGAGTGTGATGATCACTTCCATTTTTTGAGGATCACCAGGCTCTCGATATATTGGATATAGCTTCTATGGGACTTCCTCCGCCACTCTGTGAAGTGGTAAGTATTAATGGACAAGTTTGCCTTTGGGGGAAGCT